TCTCTCTCTCTCGCTCTCTCTCTCTCTACCTCCCTCTCTCCCTCCCTCCCTCCCTCCCAATTATTTTTTGAACCGGTTCTTAAAAACGAACGTTCGAAAGAACCGATTCGCTGAACTGAGTCGAACTGCCCATCACTATTTCCTGTTGCCCAGCCCAGTTGAGTTGCCCTCCCTCTCTAGAACTCCACAGCGACGAAAAGAAAAGACCCCGCGGGTGCAAAGAAAAGAAACCTTCTCCTTCATGCGCATCGTACAGACTGTACTCGCATTTTCCCCCTTACTGCCCTGTTGTAAGGAGAAAGACTTTGAGGGGCAAAATGTTGACATAGCATAGCACATAACTGATGGTCACTAGATGTGCTGTAATTTGCTAGTGAAGATGGAACAGATTATCGTTTACTGAACGTATACATATGTTTGTGTGATCTGCCACTTGCTGGACAAAATTCGAACTACAGGACAAAATTCGGACTTGTGACCAAATTACAGGGGATATTAGTTTTGATTGAATGATAACGTTATCATTACAAGCTTCTGATATAGGCAGTTTACTACCCTATATCAAATGGTAATGCTAAATACAATTTTGGCGCATTTGTATTGCCTTATTGATAGATAAATTTGTCATTTTTGGTGGTTTGAAGTATTTAATGCAAATTTAAATATTTGCTATTTAAATAATTTTATTTAAATGTCAGAATCAGATATATCTCTGTCTCAGCACCACTATGTTCAGCAAGATGGACTGTCAGCCAAGAAACACACATTCTTTTAATTAATTACAATTCGAATTGAATTACTAGAAATGTTTTACGGGATTAAAATAAAATTATATGTGCATGCAGTATGTGAGAGGGCTGAGTTAAGAAATATTAGGTGTTAGAATAACAATATATAACATTAATATGACTATACAATTAATTTCACTTAAACTCATTTTAAACATTTAAACTCATTTTAAATTTACAGTGATTGGATATTGAATTTGTAATCAATTAATCAGATTTATAAAATGCTCTTCATTTTTCGGGGTTTATATTTCTTACATTATTCTGTATGCGTTCAGTCAATGCACACAGATAGGAAGCTGCTTAAACTATAACACTCATATCTTCCATACCTACCTAAAACGCCTCGTTCTAACACACCCCCACATATCTACCTCACTATGTGGGAAGATTTGCATAACGCCGCCCAAATGTTCACGCAAAGAAAGAAGGCGTAACTTGTAATCTCGCTGTAGTATTGTTGCCGCTGCCGCCATGTCATGAAGGTACTGTGTGTTTCATTGTGAAAGCAAAACTACTTTGTTTGGTCTTCCAAAAGAGGACGATATCCGCTTTGTCATGCCTGGAGCTGATCCGTGCTGGTCACAGAAGTGATACATCAATTTCACGCTGTGGATCGCCGGATCGTCTTTCACCGTGGACAAAGCGGAGTCCAGCCTGGGGTCGTCACATGTGGTTGCCACAAGCCCACCGGCCGCACCATTCTCAAGCCCGCCGGCCGTTCCTCACTCTAGCCCGCCATGTGTGATGCTGTGTGTTTCGTTGTGAAAGCAAAACTACTTTGTTTGGCCTTCCAAAAGAGGACATGACTAGAAATCAGTGGTTAAGTTATATTTACAACACTGTTCCAGAACAGTTCAACCCAAATATTTAGATGTGTGCAGCGCATTTTGCGAGGATGAGGACTGTTTCCTGTGAGAGCCTACAATGTCTGTCTCTATAAAGTGGGGCAGTTCCAACTTTGCAAGGACAGTCTGGCGCTTCTGACTCACAGCCTGTAAGTACGTTTTTTATATTTAAAGAATTTGCCACTGACGATTCAAACGTGAGTTTTGGGCAGTGTAGAGTAGGGCTTGTTGTTTGTCATTTCTCCGATCACAAATGCAGACATGGTTTTATGTTTACGCGGCGCGATACGCAACACAACGCGTAAAAAGACAGTATAAGTCATTATAATCAGTAATTATGTCCCCACTGGATGCAACAAATGCCTCGTTTGTAATGGGTTTTAATGTTTTTATCTCGTCGCTCTGGCCGGGACAAGGCATCACAGTATGGTAGGGGCGTAACATTTCCGTCCCACGCTTGAGGTATTCGGCCAATCACAACGCACTGGATAGCTGGCCAATCAGAGCACACCTTGCTTTTCAGACCGATGAGCTTTGTAAAAATCGACGCGTTTCAGAAAGGCAGGGCATAGAGGAGAAACAATGTACAGTATGTGGAAAATAATGTGTTTTTTTTACTTTAAACTGCATAAACACATTTCATTACACCAAATACACAAAATAATGTTCTTTTTAGCAACGTCATATGACCCCTTTAAAATTTTATTTATTGTATATATATACAGTGCACAGCATAAATGAGTACGCCCCCTCTGAATAAATATAAAAGATGTATTTTCTTAATGATCACTGACCCTTCTTGGCACTGAGTGTACAAGTTCATGACAAATTTTCACATCTGTGCTGTTTAACTCCTGGACGACCTCCTTAAATGCTCTGGTCTTTAATGGGGAGTTTTGCTCAGCTTGTCTCTACAGAATCTCTCACAGCTGCTCAAGAGTGTTAAGACTGAGTGAAATACATGTCCACTGAAGTATTTTCACCTTGGGAGAATGAATATATTCATTGTCGTGCTGAAAAAATGCCCAATAATGCAGGGAATGAGGGGAGGGTAGCATCTTCTGTTTCTAGTTTTTGTATTACATCACACAGATGTGTGTAAATTCATGCCAGCATTGATAAAGCACAACTCCCTCACACCTTCAGCACTCATTCATCCCTATATAAAAGCTTTACTACCACTGAACTTCACTGTGGGTACCAAGCACTTCTCTTTGTACTCCTCCTCTAGCAACACCAGAACATTTTGGATGCTTTTGGATTGAGACCAGAGAATGGATTCCCAGAAGTCTCTATTTTGTAAATATGGGCCCTGGAAGAGGTTAAATTAGTTTTTTTGCTTTGGCTACAGTAGGTAATTCTAGTGGTGACAACAACCATGCATGGCACTTCTGCAGGCTGCGTCATACTATGTGAGATAAAGTGTCACTCTTTTCATAGCTTTTGCCGGCTCTGAGACACTTGCTATTCCTCTTGTACCATTGTCCTCTTTTATGCTAAGAAACAAGTCACCTGGCAGTTCTCTCCCAAGTGGTTCCACTGCTGCCTGCCAGCATTAAGTCTGAGTATGATTCAGTGGGCTATATAACACTTTAAATTGTCAGGAAATTACTTGTCTTTAAAAGTTTTGGTTCAATATACTTACCTGTTGATCAAAAATAGCCTTAAACCTATACACTTTTTTTTTTGTAACTTTCAGAAGGGTGTACTCATTTTTGCAACACACTATTTTATCACTTTGATAAGAAAATCTTATTTTGCTGAATAATTTTGGCATTCTTCTTTGGTAATTGATCAAGCAGGCTTGTTGGAACATTACATCTCCAAAGAACCTTAACATGTCTTCTAAGTAAAGAGTAATTGCTGAATTTGTTAAGTTTTAGAGGGGGTGTACTCATTTATATAATATCATTTTATGTACAATTTATAAAAACGTGTTTATATTTATTTTTTGAATGTCTGAATATTTGTCATGTGACTTTCTATATTAATTATTTTGTCTATATCCATTTGTTTAGCCACCAGCCAAAGTTGTGAACATACAGTTACATTTAGAGTCAAGAACATTTTTCTTTCTGCAATACAGTAAACCACAATTTTATACATGTAACAATTCACAGTGTGTAGAAAACCTAATTTCTTTAAAGCTTTTTCTTTTTTTTTACAAAATCATTTTTATCACAGTACATGTATTTTGTAAACTATGTGCTAAAACACCCATGAGTCCATAAATGTGGCTGTATAAACAAGCATGGAAAAGTTCAGTAATGGTGTGCAAGAGATCAAAGGTCACAATTTCCATATTCCATGAATCATTTTGGAGTGTTCCTCTATCAAGCTGCATGAAGCTGCTTATGTCGTCTGCTGGCCTCTGGATACACTGAGTGGGTACAGTGCGAGCTTCACATACCAGATAATCAGAGCCAACCAACCTGCCCCAGGAAAGTCTGTTGATTGCTTTTCTTATCTTCACAATACATTCAATGAAAACAAGCCACTGTCGTGCCAGGAAGAGCAGTTTACTAGCAACTGTAATAAGTGAGGTCGAAGTCCATTCAAAAAAGGTATACGGAGCCTGAGTTCATTATTCATCAACAGATGAAACAGACAACAGGAGTTAAATCCTCCTCCTTGCTTAGACATTTTCTCGTCAGTGTAAGTTTTAAGTCCATCCTGATTTACCGGATGTTTTCAGTCATCAGAAATTGTTATACCTGCTTGTGCGTCGTATTTGTCGTGGTTGGTATAAGTGGTGTCTCAGGTTCAAGACTTATCTTGCTTTCTACGATTTCTTCAATAGGGATATACAGTCTGCCATCTGCAGTACTCTGTTGGAATAGATTGAATCAAGAATATTAATTACATTTTTTATTACAGGAGTGTGTGAATGTGAAAGGTTTCTGATTGTGAAACGAATGAATAATGATCGGCTGCACAATTTACCCGTAGATCCTCTGCCGTTCTGATGTTGTTGATGAGCATGTCCTTAAAGATAAGCGTTGGCTCTGGGATTTTCGGGAATATGATGTCTTTATGTCTGAAGGAAGAGAAGTGAATTCCAGGCCTCGGTAATCAATATTCAGTCATATTAAGTTTTTTTTTTTTTTTAATTGCCCATTTTTAACTTCTAACTGAAGACTGATCAGGTTCAATAGCATATGTGATTCACAGGACGTACAAATAGGATATAAAGAAATCGTAAAAATATACAATAACATATGTCATAATGCAATAATATTGTTTCACATTTGTTCTTTTCAAATAGAAGGGCAGAAAAATGAAAATCTAAATCATTCATCACCTTCTGAGCAGCACAAGAGAAACTATCAGGCAACAGGAAACTATGAGCGGGATAATAATGACAGCCAGCAATGCAGGCAAATTTGGATCTCTGTTCTCACCTACGAAACAGCACAAAGAAAAGCATTCAAGTCAACTATCAAAGACCAGAGGAAAGCTCATTTCATTCGCAGGATATGAAGTAATCGTACATAAACTACCATTCAGCAAGATTGTCCTGGAAACTAAAATTTTCTTTTTACTGTTTTACCCTTGTTGCAGGCTTCCTATTGCTTTTCCATAAAATATTAATTACCTTTCTAAAACTTTGACCATCTAAACAAAGTGATTATCATAGTTGAATATGATGCTAATTACTTGACCCAGACGTACCATATTCCACCTCATCACTCAAGTCACTCTTCCCTGCACCACATTTGTATGAGAAGTTGATCTGCACTCTGGCTCTGTACTTGCAGTTTGAGTCATAGTCCATTACATGCTTGCTATTGGCCATGTCCTTTTCTTGTACACTCTATAAACACAACAACAGAAAAATATAGGATTAGAAAATCATAGAATAAAAGAAGCTGGATCTTGTTTACCATGACATTATGCGCTACACTACATGACGCAATAATAGCTCCACCAAGTGGCTTGGTACATACTGCATTGTTTCATTTGACTTTTTTCATTTATTCTATACTCTTAAGCATTAAAGAGGGCAGTTTTATGCATATTTAAAGTTTTAGTGAGAATGAAAATACTTAATAAAGATCTTATACTATTAAATATAAAAATACAGAACATGATTTACCTTATCGCACATGCTGTAAATGTAGTTGTATCTGTAGCACTGAGGTGCAAACTCATCTAAATCTGATACAGTTGTTTGAAAATGGAGAGACTGCCCAAATCTCTGGATTGTAAGTTGAGGTTTGTTTAGTTTCACTGCAAAGGAAGCCCAAAAAGACAATTAATTAGTCAAACAAACAAACAGAGTGGCAACTGACATTAGAAAATGTGAAAAATGTAGCTCAAATTCTCTAATACAGCTATTGCAGTATGCAGTATAGGTTTGCTATGTTTCCTCAAGGTGATCAACTAATAACATTTCTCAAATAATTTGCTGTTGTGAAAATGACAACTCTCAACGTAATGTGCTGTATTTGTGAAAACCGGCTGTTTAACTGCCTTTCAATGCAGGTTTAAAAAAAAGTATATGTTCTATGCAAAAAGTGCATCTTTACCTAAATCTACTGGACGTTCATCCATGAATGTGTTGTTTACAGGTTTGCCCTTATAAGTGCCATTGAACAGGTAGAGCATGTTTGTCATGTGCTTGAGAAATGTATCGTGTATGACGCATTCTCCAATCTTCATCTCATTGCACTTTATTACCGTTTCATTCTGAGGTGACCTAAAACACATACATTTACAACCAATGCATGGATGAAAGGAATATAAACATCAAATGAAAGTGAAATATACACAACAATGCTAAGAAAATCAGTTACGTACCAGTAATAAAAACCAAGGTCTTTGACATCAACATCAGAATGCCAAGTGCACTTCAACCTGTTGTGGGAATACTCACAGCTCCTGTTTTTCACCAGCCTCACTGAAATAAATGTGGAGATTTCAAATCAGTCCTCAAGACTGGAAATTTATGAATATGAAATTAATCTGTGGATTATGTAAGAGGTGAATCTTAATGCTGGAGTTCCTTGACTATGAAAATCAGTGGTTTATTCTTTAAGTCAAAAGAGCTTGATGGGCTATGAAAACTCACTGTAACATTAAGAACTCAAAGAGACTCAGTATGAAACATGACATCACAAAGTTGCATGCACATGAATGCATCAACACATGAACACCTATATTTACATGTCATTGTATGATATCGATTCCGTGATTCAGTTACAGTGAGGCAACAAGGGCAAAGCAGGAAAGACGCTATTATTCCTAAAAACCAGAAAAACTAACAATAAATATAAAAAAAGCTGTTAATCAGCTGCTATTCTGCATAATATTGGTCGAACAATGTTTTATTTTTTTTTCCAGAGCAGGATGGCCGAAACACATGATTTCACAAAATTAAATTTAAAGATGGTAAATAACACCCTTTGAAAAAAGGCTGTTATTGCAGGATTGATGAGTTGAAAACTATATTGTGCTCAATAGCAAACCTGCAGCTCTTAAAAAATAATTGTTATAATATAAACTGTTCATCTTGTGACTTTCTTCTTAGGTAAAATGAAGTAAATACCATAACATGTAATAAAATAAAAATACCTCAATGACTTAAGACTGAATAAACTAATAAACATACTTCTCATGATCATAACTGAGACCACTGCCACCGGATCAATATGGAATGATTAAAAAAGGGATAAAGAACCAAAAAACATTTTACATCAGATAGCTGGCTATCATGCAGAGTACCTGGAGGTGGAGGGATGCTAATGTCCAAAGGTGGACTTTGGTATTTGTTTCCACAGTTTTCAGGGTTCACTGTAACACTGATGCATAGTCCGTTCTCATTGGAGATATTCAGTTTGCAGGTCATGTTTTGGACCCTCCTGGTTTCTGTATTTTTGGCTCCTGACATGTCTTGTTTGGCTCTTTCAGAACAGTCCTGTTGATGACAAAGGATTTGCATGTTAATTATCACTATAAAATACAGTCTGTTTGTACTTGTGTTCATTTTGTGTTACTGTGTGTGTGTGTGCATTACTCCATACTAAGTAAGGATGAGTCACTTGTTTCTAACGAAAACCTCCCATTATTCCTTTCCAAAAAATTTTCACTAAAGCTTTCCCAAGATGATGAAACCATCAAAAATAATTTAAAAATATTCTTTACTAGGCACAAAGATGTAAAATATGTTAATATATTTTAGGGATTGTTTTGTGCATAAATTGAATTACAATGCAAAGCAAGTGGTTACATGCTGAACAAGCAGTGCCTGGAGCTCCAAAAGGAAACACAAGAGCATAAGTAAAGTGGCATGTTGTTAGACAAATGAATATGCATTTTTAATCTCTTTCACTATATAAAGACATTTCTCCACACACACACACACACACACTGGTTTCCATGTTTTATGGGGACTCTACATAGGCGTATTTTTTTAAACTGTACAAACTGTATTTTCTATCCCCTTATCCTAACCCTACACCTTTCTGCATTTTTAGAAATTTCAAAAACGTCATTCTCTATGATTCATAAGCTTGTTTTTCCTAATGGGGACCAAAAAAAAGTCGAGAGGGTTCCTTGAGCTGAAGGGATCCCCCGAATTTGGTGCGGATTCGCAGTGCTGTTACGGAGATATATCCGTTCAAATTTTCAATGGTTTTCCATAGATTTAAGCTCATCCAGGTCGCCAGTAGCAAACAATGGAGCGTGCTCTGCTGGACAAACTAAGTAATTACACCATTTCAAGCATTTTATCGACATTATATGTTCTGTAAAAAATAATTTCATATCGGCGGCATATTCGCCGATACCAATATATCGGCGACAGGCTCAAATCGGCCAATAATATCGGCAAAACGATATATCGGTCGGGCTCTAATATTTAGTTTCATATTATTTTCAATCAACGTAAACTCAGCACACCTGAAACGATTTATTTTTGTTCCATATTATTTAAAAAATTTCAACACAAACACAATCACAAAAAAAGTTGCTAAGAATCCAAACAATAGAGTTCCAGAACTTGCTTTGTTTCCTCTTCCTCTCACTTTGACAAACCTTGTTATTGTGCATAATGTATGATGAGGGTCTTAGACTTAAAAGCTAGTCTAATCTAATGGTATGATTTAAATCAATGTCATATTAAATAACTGGTTTTATTAACAGATTTTCTAATTAAATACAGCCTGTGTCAAACTTTATGATGTCAGTACAACTGGCATTGCTGTTTGCTGACCCGACCGGTTCTCCTAGACGGAAGTGACTTTTCAGAAGTGCTATGTTAAACGCTGAAATTCCCTAAAATGCCACAGGTACCAATAATATCAACCAAAGATCATCCAAATCAGATAATCTGTGTGTAAGTACATGTGTAACATGTAGCTACATAAGTATTTGAACACAATAAGTTTCATACGTGTGCCGGTGAGAACTGTGTAAAGGGAAAAGGGCAAAGAGAGATAAATACACACATAAATTAAAGTAAACACGTGTGATGAGAAAACAACAAACCCAATGTAGACTTTGACTTATGTGGGGAAGAGCTGTAGCAATAAAGTATCAGAAAACGCTAAAGTACATCAGACCTAATTTTGTTTTACTGACTTCAGAAGGACAAAAACACACTATAAACTCCAATTCAGTGTTTGTTCAGGGCTTCTCAGACCTGGTAAATTGCGTGGTTATAGAGAAAAACTGCTGCCTGTACTACACAAAGTGTGCTAGGGTCACTTATACTATGATCTGTTCTGGTTTGACTGGAGTGAAATGTGGGACAACAAAACTATTTTCTTTGTTTCGTTGTTACTGTCATGACAGCATACATCAAATAAAATATTTTAAACAGCATTTATTTTATGCATGCATATGGTTTTTATTGCATAACATTAACTGAGTCCATATGATTAATTGAATTTACTCAATTGTTTAAGGTAAGTGGTTGCAATCAAATAGATTTGATCTACATTTAAATAAACACATTTAGTTCAAATAAAAAACTAAAACCAAAAATAAATTTAGTAAATTGAACAATCTTTTTTTTTTCAGTGTACTTTTTAAACGCTTCTCTGTAAAGTCTTGTCTCCCTTCATCCTCCTGTGTTCTGCCCCAAGGTGTTTTAGAGTGTTTTAAAGGAAAATACATGTGTGCTAGAAAGCTTCTGAACCCTTAAAACGTTCTGTATTTCTACATACATTTTTGACATCCATCTCATGTGATATAAATAATGTGAATAAATAAGTGAAATTATACATTATTAGCAGTCAGGGCCTAATGATTAAGGGGTCGAACTTGTAACCCAAAGGTTGCAGGTTTGAGTCTCGGTACCGGCAGAGATTGTAGGTGGGGGGAGTGAATGTATAGCGCTCTTTGCCTTCAGTATCCGGAGTGACCAACCAGTTGATCATAATAAACAGCAACCTAACATTTCCAATAAGTGTATATGTGACCCTGGACCACAAAACTTAAGTCTCTGGGGTATATTTGTAGCAATAGCCAAAAATACATTGTATGGGTCAAAATTATTGATTTTTCTTTTATGCCAAATATCATTAGGATATTAAGTAAAGATCATGTTCCATGAAAATATTTTGTAAATGTCCTACTGTAAATATATTAAGAACTTCATCTGGACAACTTTAAAGGCGATTTTCTCAGTATTTTGATTTATTTGCAGCCTCAGATTCCAGATTTTCAAATAGTTGTATCTCGGCCAAATATTGTTGATGTATAAATCTCAATTTCAAAAAAATGGACCCTTAGGACTGGTTTTGTGGTCCAGGGTCACATATCATTTCTGCGCATCAGCTCAGAGGAATTCTGGTCCAATCCTCATTAAACACTGCTTAAACTCAGCTACATCATTGGGCTTCTTTAGCTGGAATTGCTCTCCTCAAGACAGCGTTTCTACTGGATTCAAATTTGGCTTCGACTTTCAAATTAATTTCTTATTAAATTATTTAATAGCAGTGTACTATCCCCCAATAGTGCGGGAACTGCTAAACTCACTCAAACTTAGCCTTTAAATGAACTGATACCAAAAGTTCACATACTTATTCCATAAATAATTAAATAATATTTAAAAAATAATAATGATTCAATTACATCTCAAAGTGCTTGATAGGATCTGATCACAGCATATCTCTCTCTCTCTCTCTATATATATATATACAGTATATATATTAGGGCTGGGTAAAAATTCTAATTTTTACGGAACGATATCGATTCTTAAATGCTAAGAAGATTTTCAGTCAAGGTTTTCAGTTAATGGACGGAATGTTAAAGGGCACTCCCCAAACCAATATATCGCAATAAGCATTGTGCTTTGGTACTTTTAATATGAAACAAAGTATCAGATTTCAAATTCTGTCCATTGTATTGCAATATTCAAATAATAAATGCCGTTTTGGCGCTGTTTAATGTGGAGTGACAGATCGCTGTAGCGCCTCAGTTCAGCAGACGCAGCAGCGGGAGGCGCACGTGAACTGATCATCTCCTCCACATTAATACCAGTTTCAGCACAAAATAAACATGACTAAACATCCGAAGGTAAGTTAAAAGAAAGAGTACAACTTTACAATCCGTATCCTGTCTTATGTAATCGCTCAATCAGTGTTTCAGCCGCGCAAAGACATCAATAATGGCTTGTAAACAATGTGTCATGTAGGCCTAACGTCATATTTTACCTCAGAAAAACATATTCGGTGACTATAAACTCTTTAGTCAGATAGAAAATAAACTGCGGAGAGGGGCATTTTGCTAAATATATGCACCAAATAACATATTCATTATACATTTTACTGTTCTTCAATATTTAATTTATGTTTGAATAAATCCATCAAGTTTTATGACAGCCACCATTATGTTTATATAAAAAAACGAATTGAAGTAGAAATATTATTATGTAATTGTAACTTTATTATTTAAAAAACTTAAGTGTAATTTTAACAAATCAGTCAATTTTAACCTTCAATATATAGTAATGTAGTACCAACGGACTCTCATATTTTACAACATTAGTTGATTTTTTTTTCCTTGAGAAAATTTGGTATATACTGTACCAGATATATATACAAAATAGTCGATAGAGTACAACTTTACAATCCGTATCCTGTCTTATGTAATCGCTCAATCAGTGTTTCAGCCGCGCAAAGACATCAATAATGGCTTGTAAACAATGTGTCATGTAGGCCTAACGTCATATTTTACCTCAGAAAAACATATTCGGTGACTATAAACTCTTTAGTCAGATAGAAAATAAACTGCGGAGAGGGGCATTTTGCTAAATATATGCACCAAATAACATATTCATTATACATTTTACTGTTCTTCAATATTTAATTTATGTTTGAATAAATCCATCAAGTTTTATGACAGCCACCATTATGTTTATATAAAAAAACGAATTGAAGTAGAAATATTATTATGTAATTGTAACTTTATTATTTAAAAAACTTAAGTGTAATTTTAACAAATCAGTCAATTTTAACCTTCAATATATAGTAATGTAGTACCAACGGACTCTCATATTTTACAACATTAGTTGATTTTTTTTTCCTTGAGAAAATTTGGTATATACTGTACCAGACATATATACAAAATAGTCGATATTGAATCGAATCGAATTGGTAATCGAATCGAATCGCAAGCTTGTGTCAAAACCCAGCCCTAATATACAGTATATAGGTTATATATATATATATATATGTATCGGGGGCGTAGATTACGCGGGGGACGTGTCCCCCCCCCACTTTTAATATCAAGTAAATTCGTCCCCCGCACTTTTTTCTAAATTCCTAATATGGACAAAGGCGTTCAGCTATCGCTGTATGAAAACAGTTTTCAGAAAAACAGAAACGTTTGGAAACATGAAGACTTTAAACATACGAGTGCGACAATATGGTTTATTTGTATTTGTCAAGTCATCTCCAGGTAATAAATAAAGTATATGAACAATGCAGTGCTAACTGACATAGCATTTATTACAGTATTGAAACTATTCTGCCTTGTTATGTGATAAAAAAAGTGTTTGTAGTATATAAGCAAATCATTATTATTGGTTATTGTCCAGCAGTTATCTGATTTCTAAGCCAATTAAAAGCTAGAAGTGAGAGAAAAATTAAAGTTGCCTTTACACTATATAACATTTCTGTCCCCCTCACTTCTGAAATGATGGCTACGTATGTATGTATGTATGTATATAGAAATATAACACATTTTTAAGAGTTCACAGACTTTCTAGTATCCCAGCGGAAATACTTCATTAAAGGGGTCATATGATGCTGCTAAAAAGAACATTATTTTGTGTATTTGGTGTAATGAAATGTGTTTATGCGGTTTAAAGTTAAAAAACCACATTATTTTCCACATACTGTACATTATTGTTTCTCCTCTATGCCCCGCCTTTTTGAAACACGTCGATTTTTACAAAGCTCATCGGTCTGAAAAGCGAGGTGTGCTGTGATTGGCCAGCTATCCAGTGCGTTATGATTGGCCGAATTCCTCAAGCGTGAGACGGAAATGTTACGCCCCTCACCATATTATGATGTCGTGTCCGGCCGAAGCAACGAGACATAAACATTAAAACCCATTATAAACGAGGCATTTGCACTTTTTACGCATTGCATTGCATCGCGCCGCGTAAACATAAAAGTCTGTCTGCATTTGTGATCGGAGAAACGACAAACAACAAGTGCTACTCCACACTGCCCAAAACTCGCATTTGAATCATCAGTGGCAACGAAAAACACAGCGGCCTAGCGTGAGGGGAAGCCCCGGCTTAGCGTGCGCTGAGGCAGCGATAGAGTGAGCTGAGGAGGGCTGGACTCCGCTTCGTCCACAGTGAAAGTTGATGTATTTCCTCTGCGACCAGCACGGATCAGCTCTAGGCATGACGAAGCGGATATCGTCCTCTTTTGGAAGACCAAACAAAGTAGTTTCGTTTCACAACGAAACACAGTGTCTTCAGGACATGACTGCAGCATCAACAATACTACAGTGAGAATAAAAGTTACGCCTTCTTTCTTTGCGTGAACATTTGGGCGGCGTTATGCAAATCTTCCCACATAGTGATGTAGATATGTGGGGGGGTGTTAGAACGAGCCGTTCTAGGTAGGTGTGGCTGACTCTGAACTTTTATAAACAATATCTCTTTGGTTTTGAAACTTTAGTGTTTGCAACTTTACAGATCTTCTTTACGCACCAAGAGTTCGTAACACTCCGAAGAGAAAGGAAAAATTGAAATCGCATCATATGACCCCTTTAATAAAAAATAGCTGACACACCTGAGAATGGTGCGCGTTCACCGTGTAGTTCACTTTGCAATCTGGCTCCAGATCCTTCGGCTTTTCCCATGTAAGATTAAGTGTGAAAGGTGTTTCCCATTTGAAGGTTAGGTTCCTGGGTGGAGGGAGCTCTGTGGGGTTCAAGAGGAGAGGAACAAGGTTATGAAGACCGTAGGAGAAAGGAGAGAAACATAAAACAAAAACAGCCTTCAACAAAAGTAGTAGCGGTAGCCTACTAACATTCTGTTGTTTGTAGTAGTAACTTAATAAACTACTACGGGGAGCAAGTTGAGACAAGAATTAGGTTTAGTCGTAACACACTGGTGGGCGTTCTTCAGGAGAAGGTCTCTGACGTCACAGGTTTCGGGAATTATACAGGATATCCCGCACGCGCTGTCATAGGAAAACTTCAACAAACAGCAGTAAACCCACCTGACGCGCCTTCAACTCCGACGAACATGAGTGAGAGAGAGAAGCATATAACTAAGGAGATATCCCAAACGCGAAACATCCTGTTGAAGGTTTTATCGGATGTTCTGTGTAAAATCCAATGTGAAGTCCCGTAATCCTGTGCTGATGTACTCAAAAACGCGATGTTTTTCCTTTTTTCCTTTACTTTTTAAGTGGTTGTACTCGTGCTCGACACAATAATTCAGCAGTACATAGACGATCGACGCGTCCGTCAGCCTCGAGCTCAAAGCCAGAGTGACTGAGCTTGTTGCACACAGTGACAGTGTCAGACTGCAGTGGGTGGAGTGTGTGAACTCACTCACTTTCACTCACTCACTCTCACTCACTCACTCACATGCTCTCCATGGATTAAAGAGAACCAATTATGATACAGTAAGAATCACTGTATTAAAAAAATATATAAATCAATTCATTAATTACTCCAAAACACAATGCAATGCAGTGTAAAATACAAAATACAGGTAAAACATCTGTACAAAAAATAAATAAATACGGTAAATTCCTAAAGATAGGCTACATATTTATAATACATAGGCCTACATACATAATTACGTATGTACACAATAGACAAACCAGACAAATATGTAGTAGGCCTATGCTAAATAGCATTTTCCAGGGAATGAAATATGCCAATTTGCATATGTTAGAAAGACAATAACGGGAATAAAGATGTATTCATTTATTGGCACTTTAATACATTCCTGTTAGAATGAAACACTGCCGATTGTTAAAATGAAGGCATTCATTTGAATATAAAGAAGCTAGCCAATTTATTTATACGTTTATAAAAGTGGAAACTTCACATCAACCACAACAGAAAAGTAATTCATTAATAATTGAACTTTCATAACATTGATCAACAAACATGTTTTTGTCATCAACATGTGTTGTTTTTCTTTGTCCTACACAACATTTGTAGGCCCAGCAATTTTTTTTCTTGTACAAATCAGTACAGATTCAACAACTGCAACTCTTCCACTGCCTAAAACATCAAGACTAGACTGTTATGAAGCAGACATCATGATGGATTAGTCATGTTATCCATTAAACTGCAATAACCAGTTACATGTCAGATCAGATACTCACAGTAAAACCTTCCATAAGTGTAAGACTACTATATTAATCATCCCCAGTGTCCCTCAGGCAACAAAACGGATTGTGGACACCTTGGAAAAATTATATGGATATGAATTTTAAAAATGCATCTTTAATGTTTCTAATGCAAAGGTAATACATTCTCACAGGAGTAAAGGATCAAATCTGAAACCTGTTTTACAGACAAGGGTCACAGATTTGATCTAACGTGTTTTTTGCAAGTATTTTCCCACAATTTGTGTGTGTGTGGAAAATAGACACGTCTTGGGAAAGCAGTATTTTTCCAAAAGAGCTCAGAATAAACATTACCAAAGACTTTTTTTAAATTTTTTTTTTTAGAAATATTTACTTTATCTTATGAATTACAAATCACAGAGGGGGAAAAAAAACATTCATACATTATATGCTGACAAAACGTGAAGGAAATTATGAAACTAATCTTCGGAAACAGCAGCTTGTCTCACACTATCATCTTTAAAGCAAATTCAGTGTCCATTGCTGATCAGATGATTTTATTACTAGACCAGAAAATGCAGAACTTTTTACGATGATAACTGCTTGCAAATACTACTTTGTCAATACTGCATACATTTCCATGCACGCGCTCACGCACACACACACACACACACACACAGAATTTACAACAAATGGACAACTTCCTATATAAATCCACACACCCTCTGTTTGCAATTTGCATATTCAGTGCAGAAAGGTCTAATGAGTAGGCCTACTAACAGCATTTTTGAGCATAAATCATCCCTTGATAGGCTGTACTGGCTGTAACCATGGGCAGTTACTATGGACCAGCCCAACAAAAAACAAATGTTTACAATGGGAATCACAAAAATCTGCTTAAACTGAATATCAATATGCTGTTACATTCTGCAGTATATCATTCCTGCCGACAAAGTCAGCTGTTCTCTACCATCTGGGGTATGCATTCATTTTAAAAATGCTTTACATATATATATTTATATAGTATCATTGCAAGTCCAGCCTATTTCGATTTCCCTGAATGACAGAAATTATGCACAATGATCTTAGTTCATTCTTACAAACGTGCAGCCAGTCAGTAACCACCGCAGTGATGTGTACTACTGAAAATAGGGAAGAGGGATGGTGTGATTTGACCACATACAGTAGTTTAAATTATTCTTTTCGGCAGTAGACAACCATGTTTCTTCCAAACTACGCAACATGTAGTTTGCACCAAGCATCAACCAGAAATTAGGGAAAAGTCAACAAAATAATATTATAATCATGATTTTGTTCAGTAAAAATGTCAATAATTCAAACTTTTATTGTACCATTGTTTTCACCATTTAAAAAAAATATAAAACAAAATAAATAAAAAAATGTACCTCCCATATACTTTTCTAGCTTTAAATGAAAGTTTGTAATGTTATTTTTCATCTCGAAAGCTAGTTGGCTTAATTTTTATCTTATAACCAAGTCATTTTCAGAAGATACTGTACATAGAGAAAATGAATGGCAAAAATACTTTCAGAACCAAGGCCTATGAAAATGTGGGCGTTTACTTATTTTACTTTTATTTTTACAATTGTGAATTTAATAATTCGGTACAATGATTAAGTTATGAGCTTTATAATCACCTGTCATTTTCAGGAAATAAAACGGTCAATGTAAAACTAATTTAATATGGAAACATTAGGCATATAGTATAAACTGTCTAGTTGATCTTTGGTGTGTTGGGTGCTCTACACTGCACGTTTTGTTTCCAGTGGCATCCCTGCAGTTTAAAATAGACAGATTGGCTGAGATGCAAAACAGATTGTACATCACAGAGAAAATGTACTGTCAAAATGTAATAGCATTGGTAACAAATTTTACTTAAATGTGACATATTTCATAGAATACAAGAACAAAGAAAACTGGATTTTATACATCGATAACTGGATCATGAAAAGTGGTCATAGAGATGATTGGATACATGGTCTATAAAAAAAGCCCAATTCCATCACATAAAGAAAAATCTTTGGTAAATCATAAATATGACATGAAAAGATGATGCTATTTATACAAAATAGTCAAATTATACCATACTAAGACATAACTATTAGATAAACAAAGTTTAAATTATGAGATAAAATGATAATTATGACAAACACTTCAAATGTTTGACTATTTATCACATATTAGGACTATGTCCAAATTTTGACTTTTTATTTCATAATTTCAACTTTTTTGTCAGTTTCAACTTAATGTCATTTTTTACTTTTATCTCACAATAATGACTTGTGTCATAATTGACATTTTATATCATCAAAATGACTTGGCATATTATAATTTTGACTTATGTCATAATTATGATTTAAGAAAACATGACTTTTTTTCTTATCTGGTGGAAATAATGGTAAGTGAGTAGGAGTTGAAAAATAAGGCGGCCTAAAAGCAACAATGCTGCAAACATGATAAGACCAGGAATGTGAATTAAGAAAATAAATTGGGTCAATTTGGACTTCATGATGGCTTTAAAATGAACTGTAAAAGCAATATGTACACAAACTTGCTGTACACAATAAGTAAAAAAAAACATGGCACGGAAAATGCTGGCATTCTCGTAGCCTGAAGAGATGCTTGATGAAGGCCTAGAATCTTGATTTGTACATTCAGTTGTGAGGACAGCTGATAATCCAGAACAATCAGGAGCAACCGTCAGGTTCTAGCTCAGGTCAGTGGAGGTTCCACTGATAGCACTGAACACGTGAAGAGAGTTCTGCAGCAGGGAACGCATCATATCCTCCTGGAAGATCTGAGGGGTGGCAGATGAAAACAGGATAAGGATTTCGGAATGAAATGGGAGCTTTGGAGTCATGTTATTAGCTGATAACAGAATATCATTTTAGGATATAGCAACTGCATGCACAAATATTTCAAAGAAAAGAAGACAAATACTTTTGTGCAACAAAAGTGGTTACCTAAAACTCAATCTATAGGACACGGCAGCATAATGAAGAAAAACAGAGACACATTAGAAGCAGAAGTAGGACAGCATTACATTCACAATAACACCTCAAACAAAGAGAAGAAAAATAGCACTTTACAACCGATTACTTGGGTTTAAATTCCTAAGTACTTGTTTTAACCAGTGACCTACAAACTTTGAAACAAATTACCACATACTCACTTCCAATAGCAGTTCAGTTTTTAATAATCATGATGACACAGTAAGCCATAGTTACAGAGACAAACACTCGCTTGCTGCAATTCTGCTGGTGGAAACTACTGTGTGTTTAGACTAGGAACTAATCTATTTCCAAATGTCTTCATAGAATTTTATCCGGTCTTGACAGAAGATGAGCGCTGTGTTGAAAGTACAAGTGTTTCCAAGAGCTCTGACATGCACTTAAAATAATGTGATTGTAATCTGATGATGATGATTTGTGTGAGAGAGAAAGTACATTCACATACAGGAGACGAGAACTGCAGAGTTCATCGCATTAAAATTCATATGTATTAGGGATGTGCCAACCAGGTATCAGCTCCAATACTGCCATTCTTTGCCTGATCGGGTATTGGTCAGACAGGGCCGATCCAAATCCGATATTGTGCATACTATTGTGTGTTACTGTTAAGCCGCACGACAGGCATAAAAGCATTATAAAGCACAATAACGTTTTTGTGAACTATATTCCAAGTCTTCTGAAGTTTATCGTTGCTTCTAAATCATGTTACTTGCTACCGGGTGTCTGTTAGAACAAAACATGGGAGTATAAAAGACTAGTTTTTATCGCACACAGTAACTGAAATTTAAAACTGTTAAAAGAAAAGGCTAAAACTGTTGCACAGATATTATACACTATACACATCAATATCTCTTCCCTTTGAACTTTTTAATGTGAAGCGCTGGCTACCTGATGTATTTAAAATAAATGTCTTTTAATTTTTTTGTATTTATTTCTATATAAATATACTGTTTTTCAAGAATGGATTTTATGACAATGCAAATAGCAATGTGTAACATTTGACCAGATTTAGTGCTACACTTTTATTTGTTCCCCCCTAAATAATGTTTTTTCACTAAATCCTAAATATTTGGATTTATAAAATTATACCGCACTGATTTTTCTAGAATAACTTCTGCAGCTGAATTATCCACTAACCTAGTTTATAATATACTTTTGTCATAGATTATGTACATATCTTTTTTCATATTTTTATTTTACTTTTCTTTATAATGAAGTAGTCTGTATTCAGTAGATTGTGAAAGAGTGATTATCAGTTCCACACATAGAGATATAGAAATTCTACATTGGTTTAAAAGAAAAAAAAGAACACAAAACAACTGCACTGGTATCGGATCGGTATCAGCCAATATTGAACCACAGGTATCGGAATCGCTATCAGTAGGGCTGTGTATCACCAGCAAAGTCACGATATGATACGTATCACAATACAGAGGCCACGGTATGATACGTATCACGATACAGGACTGCACTGAATTTCACCTCAGCAGAATTTGGTAAAACAGCTGTTTACTGCATACTATAGGGCCATTGCTAACTATTGGCAGAGCAGGCAGTTGACCTCTGCATTATGAAGGGCCTCCATAACTGTACCACAGTACAATATAGGTAATGGCATATGTTTCATGTTTACATTGGGCACTCCCCACCAGGTACACTATTCTGATTGTTTGCATCTTGTTTTTAAGCCCATAAATAATAAAGAACTCGTTCAAATAAATTTATATTGTAATGTACTCATTCTAATATATTAAAATCATCTTAACATTGCTGGTAGGTTATCATTGCACAAATCAACACACTCTCTAAGTTTAAAAAATAACAATTAGAAGAGTTCTAAACTAATGCGCTGTCTTCACTGTAGCTCACTCACACACGTTCTAGTCACTATATCACGCTGCGTGCGCACACAGACATTCTTTCTTAACGCTCAGACAAACTTTTTAGTGCTGCCCCGCGATTTTATCAATAAAACAGCTTAATCGCTGAAGAGCTACATTATCTTTCTCAAAACGGAGCTGGTAACATCGTCGTTTCTAAAGCAATTAAAGCCACAGCTTCACTGTTAATAGAGAAACACGGCAAAACGGTGGTAATTCATACATACACAGCCTCTCTCTCTTTCTCGTAAACGAACACTTGATGAATTACACTTTTCTGAGAATAGAATATCGAAGTGGAGATCGCTAAACTGCAAGCTAGCCGGTGTTTTCAGAAAGCAAGCGCGTTTATCCACAGTGGAGAGAGAGTGTACGTGCACATGGCTGCCAGGTTGACAAAGATAAGTAACACACTTAGCAGATATTTACGTATTGCGCAAGTGTGAAGCTCTGTTTCGGGGATTACGTCTCTTTATATCAGGCAACCCCGGTTGTGTTCCTCTGCGGACAGATTAAACTTTGTTGTAGCCTATATATTATGCTCCATTCGTTATTTTTTTTTAGAAACCTTGCACTTTTCTACTCCATTTTAAACGGTGTTCTTGTATTCAAATTAAGTGCGGTCCACTGCTGCGCACGTGCCACAATATCGATACAGAGACAGCTGTATCATACTCGTATCGTCTCTGTGACGATACATCGTCGTATCGAACACAGCACTAGCTATCAGAGGCAAAAAAGGCGGATCAGAGCATCCCTAATATGTAAAACTGCCTAAGGATTATATTGTATTGTATGATCTGCATACAATTAATATTGTGCCTTTAAACTGTTTTTACTGTAAATACTAACAACTGTCAAATAAAACACATTTTCTGACTTAAGCTTAATTTCTGACTTGAGCATTTTCAATGGTTTCAAGCTAATTCTAGCCTACTTAAAAATTAAGTACCTGCATCTTGTTAACTTCACCTAAATGGTTAAATTCACTGGTCAAGAAGACTAAATCAGATTAACATAATGACACATGTACTTCTAGGGAAAAAGACTAAAATAGATTAAGCTTAACCAAGCCAGTGTTTAGCTAGCCTAGTTTTTACTATGTTCACTTTATCACTATAAAACCATAAAATCTTAAACCATACAGTAAATTAGAATTTTAAAAATTGTCTGAAAATTCAATCCACTCTTCAATGGTTAATAACCAAGATTACAATGTTTTTTGTGTGTTTTAGACATATAATATGACTGCTCTTAGGATTAAACTGTAAATGAAGAAATAAATATGTGATGGCAAATAATTAAATGGAACTTGTCAAACCGGTCCTTAGTCAAGGTTTGCAAAGCAAAGATATGGGGCTTTGTGCTTCTAAAGAAAACCAGCAAAGTGCATTGATGCTTTGATAACAAGTGCTAACAGTCTGTGATGTGCACAAAAAATTTAATGGAGTTGTCAATTAATTAAACTTTATTAAATAAGTTACATTTTAAATCAATTCCATAAAATGATTAATAAATCAAAGTATATATATTGCAAGCCCCCAAATGAAGGTAATTTAAAAATATCACTGTGGCAGATGGGTAAATCATTAAAAATTAACAATGGTCTTTAATGTAGATGTCAATAATTCACACTAAGTTGACACATTCAATTAGAAACCATGGTAATCTGCATTTCCATTTTTTCAGTCTATAAGACAAGTGTCAAATCACAAGAGTAAATACAGAAAAAACTGTTATTCTTAGTAAACAAAAACAACACCAAAGTGAAAAGTATTTTGAATCTTTCACTCTCAAACTCTTCCTTCAAGTGTGTCTTCTCAGGACACAATCACTCCAGGATAACTGAGCGTGCAAGACAAACCAGATCAAACCTGTTGTCCTTTCACTGTACCAAATAACAAACCTGTCTGCCAATCACTGACTTAAAGTCATAAGAGGAACAAAATGAAACCTTAAAGGTTCTAAATAATAATTTCTAAAGCAGTGAAAACATGAAGTACATTTTTTTTGTTTATTTGTTTTTAACTGAGGGAAATGGCCAGTTAGCCCATTTCCTGGAGTCTACATGGACAAGAGTATAGACAGATGTAATCCTAATTCAGTCTGTAATTGCTACAAACTTATTGCAACCGCAAAAACCATCAAAACCATTACACAGGGTCCAAAGTTAAAACTGGCCAAGCAAACAAATGCTAGCAAAAACTGCCATTAACATGTGAATGACGACCTTTAAATCTTTTAGGAAGTGCATCATAATGCACAGTGCAGATCAAATCAGACATAAACGAAAACAGTGAAAGCAATCAAAGAGAAAAGGTTTTCAGATTGTTCAGATTTTCACACACATCTTCAGGCAGCAAAACGTTTTTTGTCTTTTTTGTCAAACAACTTTATTAACATGTGAATGACGACCTTTAAATCTTTTAGGAAGTGCATCATAATGCACAGTGCAGATCAAATCAGACATAAACGAAAACAGTGAAAGCAATCAAAGAGAAAAGGTTTTCAGATTGTTCAGATTTTCACAACTTTCATAACTTGGTGTGGCAATACATTTCTGGGGTTTAGGTACCGAAACAAAAAATGAGAAACAAAATCATGATGGGTCAACATTTTTATGAGAAGTGGCATTTCACAGAGAGACCATCACAGGATATCCATTTCATGAACACCAGATTCAAGGACTTTTTAAAGCACCTTTTTTTTTATATCAAGCACCTATCAAATTCACACCCCAGCATTCGTACCATCATGAAAGATCTTACAGAACTTAACATTTCACTTACACTTAACATTTACATTTTTAGAGTAATAATGATATTTTGAATGTGTAGGTTTCATAAATTTAGACCGTTTTGAGTCTTGTTCAAAGGAAGTTAATGAAATCCATTGAAGTCAATACTGGTAATATTCAAATACAATTTCTCAAATATTGATAAAAACATATTTTCTTGCATCAAACTGGTTTTTGCTGTAGTTCTTGTACAAGATTTAAATTTTAAAGAATTTCAAAAAATTTTAAATGAATAAAACGAGGTTAAATGTTGTAATAACACGGTAAAACCTGTTAACATTAAAAATGTGCACATTCACTAAATAGGGAGACGTTACTCATTAATAAATAACCTCAAGTCAAAATTATTTTGTAAATCACTTTTTATTGTAAATCCCATTTTTTCATCTTTGACCTAGAGGAATGCAGCTGCTCAAAACTTCAATATTTTTTGAAAATATTTCATGAACATTTTAAACCTTGTACAGGTGCACTTTCCTGGCATTGGGTCTGTTAATTAACACTGCTTCTCCATAGGTTCATGAAAGGCTGCGCTAGAGGGCTGCATTGGGATTGGGATCCCGCGGGACGCAAATCTCACGGAAGCGGACGGTTTTACCTTTACTCTGGGCGGGAATGGGCAGTCAAAAAAAATGTAGCGCAGGTCCCGCCAATCCACAGTCCCGCGATTTGGCCCATATAAGAATAATGGAGATACATGTGTTTACACGGTGTTTGGTTGTACACCGATTACATTACTTGCCCACCGCGTCACCGCCCCTACTGTCGTTTTGCTTTTTTTGCAGAGTTACCAGGTCTGCGTGACAAAACTAAACCATGCCAGTCAAAAACAGCCCAAAACAGCGCACTGACCATATCCCAATATCAAAACTCAAAATATGTAATTTCCATACCTAAAATATTAGTTATGTACACTGATCAAAAAAAAAAAACCTTCCTTCCTACCAGTGGCCCTCCTTCACAAAACTTAACATCTAGCACAGTTTTATCATATGTAGCATGCAAAATGTTTCAATAAGGATTTCAGTCAAAAGCAATTTATGCAGTATTTCAAACCTTTAACCCACAGGGAAATAAACCCATGGCAACGGTTTAAAAGTAGCCCAATTCCATGGAAAAAACAAGGAGTTGACAACCCTTCATCCATACACGAGCTGCAGGAGTCAGATTTGACTGATCACGGGTCGAGAGAGATGACTGACAATGCTGGAGGATTTGCTGCTCGTCAGATCCTGAGCTTATTGACAAATATCTGATCTTGTAAGATGTGCTCCCTTTACACAGAGCACGATTGATCACGAAATAGAAAGTGAGAATAGACAGCGAGTGTTCATTCAAATGCGATTTGAATACCCCGCATATTGATAGCGGCTCGCTGATGTGTGAAAATTATATACAATATTAGAATGTTTATGGTAACTGGACACACACGTTGCGGGAGCGGGCAGTAATGGTCAGAAATTCAGCGGGAGCAGGCTTTAGAAAACAGTCCCGCACAGGGCTCTAGGCAGCACATCAACACACATGCTAGGTTTTATTTCGCGCTATCCCACAGAGCACGATTGATCACGAAATAGAAAGTGAGAATAGACAGCGAGTGTTCATTCAAATGCGATTTGAATACCCCGCATATTGATAGCGGCTCGCTGATGTGCAAAAATTACATACAATATTAGAATGTTTATGGTAGCTGGACACACACGTTGCGGGAGCGGGCAGTAATGGTCAGAAATTCAGCGGGAGCAGGCTTTAGAAAACAGTCCCGCACAGGGCTCTAGGCAGCACATCAACACACATGCTAGGTTTTATTTCGCGCTATCCAATCTCCACCCCCAATCATTAGTGCTGTCTTTTGACAGCACATATAGGACCATTTTTGAAATAGCACCATAAACAATTTATTTCAAATTTAATTCAAGCACTTTCAAGAAGCGTGGGAACCCTGCCATCAGATTTGTATCAATGACATGCAGTTCAATCTGAAAACCAAAGGGAAAGCATCTAATATTACACAGACGTCACCGCTGCCAATTAGATGGCACCAATCAATGTAGGATTTTAAATCTTTAAGTTGATCTTAAAGTTTCAACAAACATCAAAAACAAAAAAGCACACCAAATGATCTAGATTCTAGAAAGCATTTGAATGGAGTATGTATGCTAAGCAGTTTGGGCTGAACAGGTTTATTTTAGTTAGTTCTTTCAGGATTATAGCGTGGGGGAACTATGACGTCAGATATGTTATTCCATGCTTTTAATCCTTCGAGATTTTCCAATGGGGTTTTTCAATTTATGAGTAAAATAAAGCCTGTGTAAACATAACTTGACGAATCTTTGGCGTTTTGTTCTACAACGTAAATTACACACATCCATACCCAAAACACAAATTTTGAAGCAGTTATGTTCATTTTTGAAAATTTATGTTTTTAATAAGTAACTACAGTAGATAAAAACTGGACTGTGAGTGTGTGTAATTTACATTGTAGAAGAAAACGTAAAAGTATCGTCAAGATTTGTTTACCACAGGCTTTATTCTACTCATAAATTGAAAAACCCCATAGGAAAATCTCAAAGGAACCCGCTTGGAATTACACTTCCAGGTTCAGACGTCATAGTTCCTCCACTCTATTGTAGTAGTATTTTAGGTACTATTTTTTTATTATTATTTTTTTGTTGATATTTTGAATTTTATTAAAATAAAATAATAACTAAGATAGATAGATAGATTTCAGTTCAAGTTTATTTTATTTCAAGTAACAAATATTGTCTTATGGTTTTAGTCTTAGTTAACTATAATAACCCCGTGGCTGAATTAATTTGTTGTATAGAAGTAGAAAGAAGTACAAGAACTATAAATGTTGCAAGAACTATAAAAATGGAAATGACCAAACAAATACCTGCTCGTGGATGATATCAGAAAGTTCTTTCACCATGCTTTTGAAGTTAGTCTTTAGTCCCTCATGATATTCGTACTGATCCTCCTTAATGAGTCTCTCATTAATCTCCAGAGCCATACTGCATGCATTGACAAATTGCCTGCAACAAATATAACCAAACGTTTAAGCATAACAGAAACAATATAATAATCTAAACAATAAAAAAAGTAGCAAAAAATATTTTGTTATTTTTGCTAACATGTTATTTTTAGCTAGTAGTTAAATGCAAAAGATTTGTCTGATTTAATTTGACAATTTTATAGGGTGGAAAATGGACTTGTATTTAAAAAAGAGAGAAAAAAACAAAACAAACTGTAACAAAAATGTTGACGAGAGTGCTATAAACAAATTCCATTTACAAGAATAAGATGTCCTGGTATGATAACTAATACATTCCTGCAACATGGCAAGTTGATACATGCTACTGAATAAACCGGGCCTGCAGTTGGTTGCTTCCTGAACATGGCTAACTTCAGCTTCAGCTATTTTTAATAGAGTTACCATTCTCTTGAAATTAAAGTTCTCAAGAAGCTTAAAGACTTTACCAGATGAGCCAATTGTGTGTCTAGACAAAATCTCAATTACAAATATTCGTATAGATCTTTCACATACATCCAACTACAGAAACCATGTATCTATGTGTGTAACTGTTGTTTTACCAAACCATGCCTTTCCTTGTTATGTAGCCACATACTGTAGTTATCTGTTCCCTTTCTAAGTTCAACAAACTGCAAAAGTAATACCTGCATCTGAACACCACATACCTGAATATTTCCTTGAGCTCCTTTACTTTCTTACTGGACTGACCAGATTTAGATTCATCAAGGAAAGCTCGGGCATAAGCCATCGGACCCGCATTCACCTATAAGCCCAAAAACGGTATAAGATGCATGAAATGATTGCCTGCAAATCGCCATCAATGAAAAGACCGCTCAGTACACTCAAAATGTGGTCACATTATAACAAAACTGCCAAAAATAGTCATTACAATTTTTTTTCCTGTTACAGGCTAACAGGAATTTAGTTTTGCATTAAGGGAATTTTGAGAAGGGTATAACTGCAGCCTGGAGATCTCCAAATGGGGGCGGGAACTCCAAAACGGGGTGGGAGCTCCAAAATAGGGCGTGGCTTCCTCCCATTGACAGACAGGCACATGACATGCATGCGCAATTACTTCCTCCAATCCACTTCAGTGCAAACTCCGCCCCACAGCTGATTCTAATGATTTTATTGGTTGTGTCAATTAAAGTGTTGATTTCCTACACTATGCTACAAAAAATGCTAACCCCTAAACCTACCCCACACCTGACCCTAACCTTAACCAGTGAAATTGACTGCACTGCGGTATTAGCGCTGAATAGCTGGTAAAGAAAGATGCAGTTCAGGAGATAAACATTTAATAAGATTATGCGATATGAGATCGTTCCGTAACTCCCCAACCGGACCTCACCGGACAATGGCACCTATTTAGTTACACCCAGCGTCACTACCCCCTCCTACCCTGCGAATTTCGAGCCCCTGGACGCCCGTGTTGCTTGGAACAAAGCGATAGAATGAAATCTTTCTCGTGGATTTCCCGCTCGTGGGTGATTCCCGTTTATATCATTACGCAGAGGTTCAAACTCCAGTCCGAACACCACTGGCCACGAGCTTTGGGCTCTGCTCTCACGGAGAATATTTATTTATATAGCATATTTTATTTTAGATCAACTAGAAACAATGTTTAATTTATAATGTTTATTTTGAATTGTAAGTCAATAACAATTGGCCGAAGCCAGAGCCAATGGTGAAAATCTTTGCGTGAAGAGACCCCGCCCCATTTTGGAGGTTCTGCCCACTTTTGGAGATCTCCGGTCTGCAGTTATACCTACTTGGAAATTTAGCTTGTGTCAGTTTAATCAACATGTGCAAGTCTATAACTGAAGTCAAGATTGGAGAGAAAAACTGCATTTAAAAATATTCTGTAAATGGTTTTTTTGCATTATAATGAGCAGTTTACTATAATGTGGGTGGGGGGCTGATTTAAATTGTAAACAATTTACATTAAATGAAAACCTCAAAAGTAACAGTATCACAGTACAAACAAAATTCTATATATATATTTTTTTTTAAAACCCGTTTAAACTGAAGCCAGTATAACTAATACTACCATGATTAACACATTGTAGATAATAAATAATTATTATTTCAAAAAACCTGATGTTCCTAAAATTATGCTGTTAATTTTTTTTTGTTCTATTAAAATTATGCTTTGTTCTATTTTCTAATCATTCACTAAACATTATTCTGTAGATCATGATATTATGCATTTATTGCATTTATGTTAATATACTTTATAATGTAATTTAATCCCGTGATGCAAAGCTGAATTTTTTGCATCATTATTCCAGACTTCAGTGTCACACGATCCTTCAGAAATCATTCTAATATGCTGATTTGCTGTTCAACAAACCTTTCATATTATTATCAATGTTGTAAACATTTGTTTAATATTTTGTGGAAACAATGATACATCTTTTCAGGATTCTTCGATTTACAAAAAGAAATCTTTTGTAATATAAATCTCTTTACTGTCACTTTTGATCAATTTAATGCTTTCTTGCTGTATAAAAGTAATAATTTCTTTAAAAACCCCAACATTTTGAACGGTAGTGAGCTAAAAGTTCCAGAGTGTGTAATGCATACTAGTACCTGCACACTAACACAACCTTGGAGTTTGAGCTGAAGTGTGATCATGTTAACCTCCTGATTAGAACAGAGCTTAGTGAGTTCAGCACTCCTCTCTTTCATCTCATCTATTGCGACATCAATCGGTTTCAGCTCCAAGTGCTTTTCTCCCACTACCTTGATGCGCTTCTTTACATAGGGAAATGAGTTGGCCGCTGTAGACACAAACAACATGAAAACACACACATGGTCAACAAACCAATATTCTTTTGACAAGCATCACCAAAACAAAAGACAGCGATTGTGATCTGATAGTGGCATATCAAAATTTTCATCTATGACTGACACAAACCTGCTGTTGTCAATATTGACTGTTTGAAGAAGCCATCTGAAAAGAGTCATTATCTAAGTGATATTTTGAGGTCGCTCACAAAAGTTGTCATACAAGTGCGTGCCAGTTTGCAGAACAGGCACATTTTAGCCCATGGGGAACATGTCATTGCCATTGTACGTGGAAAATGTTTTTTCTTAGTTTCATCAATTATTAAACCAACGTTATACAGTATTAAACACGTGCCATTTTCTTTGGGTTATGAAGATGGATGCTGCAATTAGCATGTAAATGTCTACAAGCATTCGCCTGTTCACGCTATAAGGGCCACAGACACACTGTAAGTTTAAGAAGTGACAACCACATTTAAATGTGAGAGTGAATACCATAAATGATCATTCCATGCGTGTATGAAGCATGAGTCACTTCTGAAATTGCGATTATTGACAGTGGTAACCATATCAATGCTTCAATTTTAACCACTCACAGATTTATTGTGTTTTTTTATGCTTGGTTAAAAAAAAAAAAGCAGCTCTCTATGAATTAGTTTTTTACAAACATGCAGCTTTTTGCTTCATTAATTGATGGACTGGAGTTGTGTTGATTACTTGTGGATTACTGTGATGTTTTTATCAGCCGTTTAAACTCTCGTTCTGATGCTCGAACTGAACAACTTGTCGTTAATGACATATTTAAACATGTATCAGCCTTCCCATTGCTTCCGGCTAAAATATGAGCCCTGTATTCATAACATTGCTTTCTCCAGTGAAAAAGTAATCTCATCTGAATCAGGACAGAAATGTGCACGGATCAAACACCGTTTACAAGTGGAAACAGTCCAGCACAGTTCTGAACAGGTGGATTTTGATTTGAGAGGAAAACAGAGGATGGACTTTTTCATTGGAGGAAGCGTTATTATGGATTATGGACTCATTTTTTTTTGGGCCAAAAGCAATTGTTTGAAGTTACAAGCACCTTAATGTTGAATTTGTTTTTTACAAACATGCAGCCATTTGATCGCAACACATTAATTGATGGACTGGAGTGGTGTGGATTACTTGTGGATTATTATAATGTTTTTCTCAGCTGTTTGGACTCTTATTCTGACGGCACCCATTCACTGCAGAGGATCCGTTGGTGAACAAGTGACGTAATGATACATTTCTCCAAATCTGTTCCCATGCAGAAACAAACTCATCTACATATTGGACAGCCTGAAGATAAGCACATTTTCAGCAAAGTTTAATTTTTGGGTGAACTATTCCTTTAAACAATAAAGTAATAAAACAAACACACACCTTTTAGAGGTGCAAGTTAAAGGGGCAAACTAAATAAAGAAAAAATACAACTGCACACTCACTTAAGCATCATTTATTAGTTACCAAGGTTTCAGCAAAACAAGTAGCCTTTGTCAAGGTATGATCTATACCAAGTGGAGAACAATATTGGTAACTAAGAAACGATGCTTAAGTGAGTCTGCATTTATATTTTTTCTTTAAGAACTATTCTTTTAAGCACTAAAAGGTGACGTGGACATGTACACAATGCAGAGTTGATGTACGAGTTGCAAAAAAAAAGAAGTTCAGATTTAAAAGATTACGATATACTGGGAGTAATGCCAGATCTCCTGCTGTTTGCTTACTTACTGGTAAGTATCGTTCGCCGCTTGCACTGTTCTTCAACCACACCTTGTTTCTTCCCCGTTAATGTGAACGGAGTCTCGAAGACAAAACGCTGGATGTTGTGGCACTTCTCAAAGTCTGTCTTCCTCTCTGCCAGTTCTTTCTCATCAAAGTAGGGCTTGACAAATGTGACCTGAATGTAGGCAAACTTTGGGTCTAGATCTTTCTGGTTAACCTGTGGGTAAGATAAGCAAGTTTATGTGTGGTTTATTTTATTTAAAGAAAGTGAGATGGCAGAGTTTACTATGACACTGGGAGGGGGGGGGGGGGGGGGGGTATTCAATAAAGATAATGCTTAGTAGTTCTGAATTTAAATACTCAAAAATATGCAAAGACTGCAAGCTAGATGTTTGTTTGTTCTTAACATAAACGAATCTTTCCTGCATGACGACTCAGATGAGCTGCTGTTCATGGTCATTTCAGCACAATACAGGAAGCTGGAAGGTTAAACAGAAACCCTATGACTTCTTACTTTGTTGGAGTCTTGGATGATTTTGACATTCTCTGCTCCAAACTTTTCTCCGTAGAGACTTATCAGGCGAAGGGAAATTTCAGGCAGACCTGTTAGCTTTGGCTCTTTGTAGATGTATTCTTTTCCATCCTCTTCTTCAAAGAAGACCTGAGGTCCGAAAATAAATAAAGATACATACAAAATGAACAAGTCATTCTATTCATCAAAGAATCCTGAAAAATTTATCTCGATTTCCACAAAAATATTAAGCAGTACAACTGTTACAAACTGGTGTAATGATGCTGAAAATTCAGTTTTGAATCAAAGAAATAAATTAAATTTAAAAATATATTACAATAGAAAACAGTTCTTTTAAATTGCAATAATATTTCAACATTTGACTGTTTTACTGTATTTTTGATCAAATAAATGCATACTTCTTTCAAAAACATTACAAAATGTCACCTACCCAAAACGTTTGAAAGGCAGTGTAAAAATGTGCTTGATGTTATACTTGCTATCTTCTCGAAACATATTTTAGCCATCAATTTATGAACCAAAATAGATGAATCTCAAAGCCTGACAATGTCTAGACACTGACGTCTGATATGTACAATATCAGTCACACAAGAGATCCATGATATCAATTTTTTTACACAGAGAAGTAATTTTGGGAAGTCGTAACAAAAAGCAAGTCAAAGCTACACATGTAGAATCTTGTGGTACGCTATCATTTGAACCCACCTGCCCATAAAAGGCGACTCTAAAGTAAGTCCCCAGCAGACGTCGGCCAGACTGCATCACCTCTAATATCTTCGCATAAGCTCGCTGCAGTGTGTCATACAATCGCCTCAGTTTCTACAGGAGAAAGAGAGAAATAACAGCTATGTGAGGGAGTGTGTGAGATGTTAGAACTACTAGTATGTCATTTTCATGCACTGCTGTTTAGATCAGGTCGCATGGGTATATTTTTAGCAATAGCCAAAAAAACATTGTATGGATCAAAATTATCGATTTTTCTTTTATGCCAAAAATCATTAGGATATTAAATAAAGATCATGTTCCATGAAGATATTTTGTACATTTCCTACCGCAAATATATCAAAACTTAATTTTTGATTAGTAATATGCATTGCTAAGAACTTCATTTGGACAACTTTAAAGGCGATTTTCTCAGTATTTTGATTTTTTTTGCATCCTCAGATTCCAGATTTTCAAATAGCTGTATCTCGGCCAAATATGATCCTATAATAACAAACCATACATCAATGGAAAGCTTATTTATTCATCTTTTTTGATGTATAAATCTGACCCTAATGACTGGTTTTGTGGTCCAGGGTCACAATTGTGAAAAGTTCAAATTTAACAGATTGCTTGTCTTAGCACATTTATCGACATAAAAAGAGATGACTGAGGAAAGACTAGGAACAAGAGCAGGAAATGACAGGTCGGATGTGATGAGTGAACTGCAGACCATGTCTGCAACTGTATGTCAACTTAAAAGTGTGTAAACTTTAATAAGGATGCTGATGTCTTTGTTAACAGAGGTACATATTCTAAAGTCTAAAGTCTCTTGCAAACAGTTTTCCTCAGAACTGACTCTTTATTAGAGCAGAGTAAATTGGCGTAGGCTAAAAAAAACATGTTTGTTCTTTCATGACACATATTCTTAAATAAATCTTCCTGAAAAAAAAAATTTCCTTCACTGTGGTGCCATTTACTCAAACATCTAAAACCAATGGTACGGAAATTACTTGGAAAAAATGTTAACAAATTGTCAATATTATAATAACACTATATTCATACATAATTTATGGGTGTCATTTAAAAAATTGATATGGAAAGTCAAATGGAAGAAATTTAATCTAATTAAACACAAAAAACAGTTTAAATAATGACTAGCAAGTTGTTAATTTATTTGCACAAGGCAAAGGCACAAAATAATCACAGGTTATCTTATTTGTTCACCTTTGTTAGCATAATATATACTACTTTATTAAACAGACCAGTTTTTTAACTGATGTTTTTTTTTTTTTACATTTATTAACACCAATAACAGAACATGATAAATCATTTAACACATTTTTATTTAAAGAAATATCATAAAAAGCAATGCAATAAATGTCACACACCTTTGTTGCGATTTAATCGAGTCAAATAACTCAAGAGCTTCAAAGATTAAGATTTGCATGTGTGTCTGTTGGTGGAAACGGTTTTAAACAAAAGACAGACTTTTGGAAGGGTCAAACTTCTCATGATAGTGCTGGCACTGTGGGAAATTTTCCATGTAGAAGAGTTTGTTTATGAATGGCTTTCCAAACAGTGGCTACAGAAGGCAGAGGATGATGTTTCTTATTTACTTCAGAGAGGGATTTTTACATTTACAAAATGTGTGGTTTATGTCAGCGCAAACGCTAGCAAGTGCTTGCCTAGGCATTGCTATGGTGCTCTGGGTGGCTACTAGCTCAATTATAGCTTAAACCAAATAAATAATAATAATAATAGACAAAAGTACATAAAATTGCACAAATGACAACATATTTTTATAATTTTTGTATTTTAAAATACCTCTAAAAAGTTAATAAATACTATAACTGTATATAAATCATTCTAAAATAATAATAATCTTAATAATCTACGATATTCTGGTCCTTGGATATGGTTTGGGTTTTTTCTTTAACACATAGGGAACGTGAACTGAACTACTACATGAACCGAGTAGAGTAACTGAAAGTGAAATAGATCAAGGCTCTTTTCATAATGACTGATAACGCCCTCACCACCCATACGAATATCTGATTGAGCTACTTCAATCCTTTCACGCCTGGTCAGAGTGTGCTTGTGCTTTCTAAGAGTTTAGTTATTGAGGAAGGAGCTTCAAAGAACCACAGCATTGTGAAAGAATTGGGCATCTAGCACTTGCCAAAGGAAAATGAGCACATTTCTTCAATCTGCATAGCATTGTTTCTTACCTCAAACTCGTGCCGTTTCTCGTAAACGGGAATGATGAGTCTCGCAATGTGTGTTATGAGCTCAAACCTCTCGGCTTTCCACAGACCCTCAACACATACCTCCAACTGCTCAACCAGGACATCCTGTCACACATGTACAACTGAAGTTTCACAAATACATCTTTTGACTCGTTCGTCAAACATACTCCTGATAGGGTCTTTTATGTGGTTCGATCTGTCGGTGTTGTTTACCTCAGTGTAGTACACATCTTGCATCCCTATGTCTTCTTTCATTGCTCCTTCTTCATCAATGTTGTGGGTGATTTTCTTAAAAGCTGCCAGTCCACTTGGGAACTGCTCTGAAACAATAAGATAACAGAAAATATGCCACTATATTAACACAAGATTAGCGAAAACCCTTTATACTGTTTACAAAACATATGAATCAGTAGTTGAAGACAGTAGTTGGTTTTTCATTTAAACCTAATAAAATGAATTGTTTTGCTTGAAAAATTTGCTTGTGCCATGTTTCTTTAAAATAAAGACGTCAAAGAAGGTTTGAATTTTGGTCTGATTTTTTTTTTCAAATGTAATGTAATGAAATGTAACATTTTTATTTTACCACGCTTTTTTCTTGTGTATCCAAATACAGTTTGGGGCCACGGTACATAAGCTATTGCATTATTAAAGATTACTCACGAAAAGCTGATGATTAGGATTACAAAATAACTGCATCACTGTTACCAACACATGACTTCTGAGAAACATACAGCAGTCCTTTAAACAATACCATTTTCATCTTTGGTTTCTAGTTATGTAAATTTGTGGGACCTGCGACATCCTTTTAGTTTTACATTGTAGAAGTTTAGGGTGGCACAAACCTCTAAACTGCTAGCATTTAACAAAATTAATTTGCTATTTAATTGGCAAAACCGTTTTTAAAAGCGATCAAATATATTAAAGATTTCTGTTAATGAATGCTTTATTTAAAATAAAAACGGAAGAGAAAAAACAGGTTTAAAATGCATTCAACAATACTCGAGACACATTGTTTGAGACTTTGCATTGCCATTTGCATTATGCACCACAAATTAGGGCTAGGATAGTAAAGTGTTTGTCCTGAGCAGTACCATTATTTGCATGGGGGAAAATGAGGGAAATTACACGAGCCACAGGTATTTACTGTTTTTGTGTTGTTCATTTATAAATGAAAAACAAAGTAAGAATTAATGTATCATTGTAATATGAGGTCAGACTGATTCCAATTTAGCGATCAGTGTAAAATACAGTTACGGCTGATTTATAGGACACATAATCTAAGGAAGAATGTCTTTACTCCTAATAAATTAGCATGAACCCTTTGTTGAAAGTAAAGAACCCTTTGCAAACTTACTTTTCCTGTGCAAATACTCTGCCACCAATGCAGCAACATGAACATTACACATAGCAGCCTGTGAAAATACAACAGCAGAGAAAATAAGGTTCACATTACTAAGAAAACAAATCTCATACACAATGAACTGAACTTAAAGGGGTTATATGATGCGATTTCAAATTTTCCTTTCTCTTTGGAGTGTTACAAGCTCTTGGTGCATAAAGAAGATCTGTAAAGTTGCAAAGACTAAAGTCTCAAATCCAAAGTGATATTCTTTATAAAAGTTAAGAGTCAACCATTTGATTATGAATCTTTCATTTCTCTGATCACAAATGCAGACATGGTTTTATGTTTACGTGGCGCGATGCAATGCAACGCGTAAAAAGACAGTACGAGTCATTATAATCAGTAATTATGTCCCCACTGGATGCAACAAATACCTTGTTTATAATGGGTTTTAATGTTTTTATCTCGTCGCTCCTGCCGGGACAAGGGATCACAGTATGGTAAGGAGCGTAACATTTCCATCACACGCTTGAATAATTCGGCCAATCACAACGCACTGGATAGCTGGCCACCTGGATAGCTAGCACACCTCGCTTTTCAGACCGATGAGCTTTGTAAAAATTAGCGCGTTTCAGAAAGTCGGGGCATAGAGGAGAAACAATAATGTACAGTATGTGGAAAATAATGTGTTTTTTTAACCTTAAACCGCATAAACATATTTCATTACACCAAATACACAAAATAATGTTCTTTTTAGCAACATCATATGACCCCTTTAAGCTCATCCATGTCAAAATTATTTAAAGGTATAGTCCACTCAAAACTGAAAATTTGCAGAGAATGTACTCACCCTTAGGCCATCCAAGATGTAGATGAGTTTGTTTCTTCATCAGAACAGATTTGGAGAAATGTAGCATTACATGACTTGCTCATCAGTGGATCCCCTGCAGTGAATGGGTGCCGTCAGAATGAATGTCCAAACAGCTGATAAAAACATCACAATAATCCACAAATCATCCACATGACTCCAGTCCATCCGTTAACATCTTGTGAAGTTTGTTTCTTACAAACACTCAGCTTTTCATTCACAAGAAATTAATCGTGTGGATTATTGTGATGATTTATCAGCTGTTTAAATGCTCATTCTGATGGCACCCATTCACTGCAGAGGATCCATTGGTGAACAAGTGATGTAATGTAAAATTTCTCCAAATCTGTTCCCATGAAGAAACAAACTTATCTACATCTTGGATGGCCTTAGGGTAAATAAATATTCAGCAAATTTAAATTTTTGAGTGAACTATTCCTATAACTATCCTTATTTATATGTTTTAGGGGATCCACTGCACAAGGAACTACTGTTATATAATCTTTTCCGTTGTTGGATATATTCCCAGTATGCGACTAAAATAGAAATATTAGAGAATGCTGGCAAGGAAGTGACCTTTATTCCAATTCAGTTCCTGTTTTTTATTCTGTGGGGGATATATTTACATGAAGAATTAAACAGTGCTGCTAACCTAAACATATCAGAAGAGTACGGAACAGATTAAGCCCAATTTTTAAATAATTCATAAATCACGTAATGTAAACAGAAAAAGTTAATAGCAATGAAAGTCTCTTGTGAACTGTTGTTAAATGATCAAGGATTGACCAGTGTTCAGTCAGGCAAGGCTTTGACAGGTGCTCTTACAAAGATTGTTTAAAATACCCTGAACATTACTGCCAGGAGGTGGTTTCCAGAGGGTTGCTTGCCATTAATTATGGTCATAAAATATAACTGGTTTATGTGATGCTAAAGTTTTTGTTTAAAGAAATCCCCAAACAGGCGGTCCAAAACAAAAATGGGGAAAGGTGAAAATACATCAGTTTCAAATAAAAATGTACATTTATCAAATGCATCAAAAGACAATTGATGTGCATAAAGCCCAATAAAGAATTAAAGTCTGACAAAATATATTGTGCCCTTGTAAGATTCTGCCTATCTGTAACTTCAACTTCAACTTGATTTATTTAAATAGCACATTTAATTGCAACCAAGTTGCCCAAAGTGCCCAACAGTATGCAAAAATATATAATCCAGAATATACATAAACATAAAATACAGTATAACCTTAACAATAGTGAATATGTTCACATGCACCTAGGGAAATTCTCAAGAACCAAGCTGAACAAACAGGTCTTCAGCAGAGTCTTAAAAACCTCGATAGAAGGGACCTGCCTAATATAGAGTGGGAGGCTATTCCACAATTTAGGAGCAACTACTGAGAAGGCTCTGTCACCCTTTGACTTCTTTTTAGTTTGAGGGACTGCCAGCAACAGTTGATCCGCTGATCTTAAGGTCCTGGCAGATGTAAGAAATCCTAAAAGATTACTAATAAATACTGGAGACAAGTTGTGGAGTGCTTTAAAAACCATTAATAAAATGTTATAATCAATTCTGTACTGAACCGGCAGCCAATGTAGGGAGGATTACAATAGTCTAGTCTTGAAGTAACGAAAGCATGAATAACGTAAGAAAGTAAAAGTAATAAAGGGCTTTAACCTAGAGATCAGTCTCGGTTGATAAAAACTGCTTTTCACAACAGATTTGATCTGTTTTTCAAAACTAAGGGATGAATCGATTATAATACCCAGAGTCCTCACGCTGTCTTGCACAGTTATACCTAAGGGAGCGATAGTGCAGGCTATCATATCTTTCACTTTTGGTGGGCCAAATATTACTATCTAAAAGTACCTAAAGTTGGTTGAATGAGTGTTAGAAAAACTTCAAACTTTAAAGTAAACTAAACGTTTTCCTACAGCAGCCTTTTCAATGCCTTCTATAAAAGTAAAATGTTAAATAAAATGTATTTTATCAAATGTATCACTAGATCATTTAGACTGTAAGATGATTACATCAAACATTGAAGCTGATGGTTTAAAAAGAACTGGCATTTGGTATTTAATATATTTATATTTGTATTTGAACAGGGATTTATATAGACAAACTTTTTAAAAAAGAGCTTTTGACAACTGAATACTGTGCCACATAGACGCCGATTTATGTTTGTGCCGATGGGTGCCCAACTTCAGAGCTGTTGAAACCAGAGACACTAAATAAAAACAAATAATCCACATATACGATTAAATCAACAGATGCAAGGTGTATTCGATGAAGCCCGTGTGCATTAATGTTTAACCAACTGTATAGAGATTTTCATGGATGAAATGAACAAATATCCTGCTCATTTTTTCCAACTTTGAAGCATAGCCTACTGCCACATAAAACTCCATGCGATAGCCTAAATATGAGCTAATGAAAAAGAAAACTGCTCAAACTGCTCATTTATCCAGGCCCGGTTCCAAAATTAAATACTGAGGGTGCTTCAGAAATTAGTGAGTGTGCTCTAGCCTCAATGCACAAACATTTTTACGTATACTTTTGTCCCGTCCATTGCTCTTTCGAGTGTGAATACCGCATAAATATGTGGATGTCATTCCCTAAACTTTGCAGCATGTATGTGGCCGAATGGATTATATATAGCCTAGAAAGCACACAAAAAGCTCACTAAAAAGCTGTCCCTCATCTTATTTCATCACGATCTCATGAAGTTTTGTTATAATGAGTGGATTCAAGCTTGCAAATCTCAGCACTAGACAAAAACTCTGGTGTTTTGAGCGGCAAGTGGATTCTAACTTAAACACTTCTAACTGGCCATTGTGTTCAAGAACTCAACCGATATGTCTGTGATTGGCTACATTGCTCAACACCACAAAAAAACGCTGTAAATATAAGGATTTTGACTTTCTCCAGACAATCTCAAACACAAATATGCACTGGAGAGTTTGCCAGATATGTTTCACCAATATGATAGTGAATAGAGAATATCTTGAGTTTTTCCTGTGGGTGCTCGGGAATCGGCGCATATGCTGTGCCATGTGGTGGTGTTTAATTCATTACAGAAGCCTGTTCCCTCCTCAGAGTACAAAATAAAAGGACGTAATTGTGACACAGTTTTATTATTAAAAATGAAGTTTCAATTGTTATCTGTTTCTCTGAGACGGAAACAGGTCTCCATACAAAAGCCACTATAATCTTATTGTGACGAGTGGGGCGGCCCACTCGTCACACTTATATAAAACTAACGTTTTCGGTTTCTATATAGAGATATGTACCCTAAAGGGGAAATCATCTTCACATGAAAAATACACCTAAAAATTGCAAAAGAACTGCACAATACATGAAAGATGCAAATAATCCTACTAACCAGATCTTTTGAAAAAAATTGTGCCATTTATAGATTAACCAGAAAAATAAATGGGGGGAAAAATTAACTTGTGTATCTATACGGCATCTATCTATTTTTCCCTACTCTCAGCTAATATTGGGTGCTGAAAACATATGCAGTTTTGGTGAGCTGATGCTAATTTATTGGTATTAAATTGAAAACCGAATGAAACGATGTATGGCATTATGATAAACATCTGAAAACAAACACTGTGTTTCCTCTGAAATTTCCACCGTAAAACAGCTGATATGATCTGTAACCTGTGTGTAGAATGATATTCAGGGTTTACTTACAGCTTCAGGGTGAGGTGGGGCTTAAAATGGGCCTACAGACATCATGACTGAGCATCTACAGTAATTTCATCCATTTAGAATGTGTTGTTTCCAAAACAAGTTGACAAGTTGCCTTTCCAATGCACCTGCACCAACAAAACAACACTGCATCACGTGCTCAAAATAACATACCTCCGAAAAGTCTCCATTCTTGCTGTGTGCTCGTGCCATGCTGTCCAGCCATGTCCGCCTGAGCTCCGGAGTGCTAGCGTACGATCGGGCGAGACTGTACTGAAGGTCGAGCAGCATTTCTGGGTCTTTTTCGTGCTCACGCATCTGAGCAGTGGCCATCAAAACCGTACGAATTCTCATCGTCAGACCCTTCACTTCAGATGGAAACGTTGTGGTCTGGGGAGACATATAGATCATCTAGATTTCATCTTTTAAAATGTAAACAAATATTTAACAACAGAAGCAAAAATAATTCTACTAAGTATACTAAAAAACGTATACTGAAAAATACTAAGTGTTGCAGCTGTTCGCACAAGTCACATTCCTCTGTGATATTTTTAAATTCCTGAGCTATGCAAATTTTATTGACACCATGTCTTGTGGCTTTTTCTACATCTCACAAGAATGACTTGGCTTTGTTTTAAAAAGTGGTGGGGACAGTGTTGTGGGGTTGTGGTTTTTTGCAATTACTTTACTATCTGCCATTTATTACACGGCTCTCTGAAATGCTTGATTCTTATAGACCTCAGTCAGGGCAGCAGCATATTTCATTTTAGACAGGAATGAAAACGAGGTTGCTAGGGATAAAAAATACAGTGCGTTCAATGGACTGTACTGTTGTTTAACAACATGCTGATTGTTCAGCTGAAAGTTTTGAGTTGTGAAAACACAATCTAGAACCTTTATACAGTGCATGCCATTGTAAAGAACATAAGTCTACCCCTTACAGCCTTGTTTTCATCCGTGTTAAATTCAGTATGACATCTAACCTGACTATGGTCTATTCCGCGATAATGACTGTCATCAATAGCAATGCAGTATAATGACTGCACATCGGTTATTTGAGGCCGGCGCTTCTTTCATGTCTCTTGTATCACACTGCAGACGCACACTATCATTCAAATACAGATTATGCCATCCTGTGCCCCAGTGCTAAATGGACTTAACCCACGTGAAAGCACAGCGCAGCACTGATGTAAAGCGCCTCGTATGCAAAGTTGCGTGAATGGTTTGCCAGAGACACATGCATCTGTAGATTAGCACAGGTTAATTCTCACACTTTATAGTATTTATAGCTCGTAAAAGGCTGTGTGACTATGAGGAATGATTACCTCAAAATGTACATCGGTATGCAGCTTTCCCTATTGCTTGCGTGCCAGTGATTATCCCTCTTGCTTGTCATAGGTTGCTGACCCCTGTGCTATATAGATAAACCTTAACTTTATTTACTGTAAAATGAAACCCAAGGATTTCCAAATGAATGCTAACAGGCTGTTTATTTTTCATAAATCTAGATAAATGCATGGCAAGGTTTATACAGTACATCAGGCCCCTGATGTTCTGGATGGCGCAAATGTGTTTTGTGGTACACCTATAAATAAATTATTAAAAAGATGCTTTGTTTTGACTTTCAAAGAGTGCTGGGGATATTTACCACCCGTGAACGGCCCCTTAATGAAAATTATTTTTGAGGTAGATTGAAAATTTACTGCAGATTCCAGCTTGAATTTTCTACTGCACCTTCATGGCTTTATCACTGTTGGCAAAGTTGTTGATGATGGACAGTGACTCCTGGAAACGTGAGCTGCCTGTTAGCGCCACATCAGCGATAAGCTGGCTCACAGCGATGATGATCTAATGGTCAGAGTGGAAACAAAGACAAAATATCAATGCAACATTCCACAAACTTTCTTGGGTCACACAAGAGCAGGCACAGATTAGTGTACTTATTAACCAAGGGGACAACATTGTCAGTTAAAGTCATGCTTGATTTTTAAGAAATGTGCTTGAGAAAAGAAGAGTGAAGAAAAAGAAAAATCAAGCTAAATCTAACATGTGAACATAATATTTTTATTGTTCATTAAGCTGACATTTATACAAATGTATTATACATAATGCAACCAGTATGAAAATGTAATTTAATTGCGTGTAGAAACATATACTGCCAGCTATGAAATTTGCCCTGGCAAGACAAAGGAGTCAGCTTATTTTATTTCACAGCCTAAAATGTAATTTCCATCACAGGATGCTATTAAACACAATACTTTGTATGAGATTGTTTGGAAAAGACACTGTATGTTCATGGTTTTCTCTTGTGGGCATTATATGACAGTTTTTAACCAAAATTTTATTTTTTTGTAGTTGTTCATTTACAAGACAACTCACAACGTCACCGTCGTGTAAATGTACCCTTATATTTATTGTTGAACATTGTAAGTAGACAAATTAAAAGTGAAAGCGTGAAGAGTGAGTTAATTTACTAAAAGTCCTCAAGGCCTAAACTGCCTCTATAATAGCTAAAGGAACGCCCTCATAGGTTTCATGGAGTGAAAGTACAAGCAAAAAAGCACAGTTTTGCAGATAGCTCTAAAACATTGTGAATGCAAAAAATATGAGAGTTTGTTTTCATTTATGAGGGTACAATTAAAAGAATGCATTTCAATTTAATATAAGTCATTGCTTTGCACTGAGTAGAAATGATGCAGATGCCTTAAGACATGTGAGCGAGTGGTGTTCAGCTAAAGTTCAAACAACAAGTGAATGTGGCTTGACCTGTCTCACTGGCACCATGAGGTTTTATTACACCATGTAGACTGTATCACATGCTTTCGCACCTTCAGCAAACTTTTTGTGCTTTTGATAAGAGAACAATCAAAGACACCTAGACTGTAATATCTAATATCAGATAAACAGAAATGTTTTGGATCTGAGCTTGTGACACATCGGATCGCACGCAAGTCGAACACACAAACACGAATGTCATGTTGAATTTAAACTGTTAGGTGCCGGTAAACTACCAATCAAATTTGGGGTAAAGTTTTTTTTTGTTTTTTGGGAGTAATGATGCTGAAAATTCAGGTTTGCCATCACAGAAAAAAAATCTTATTTTTAATATTAAATTACAATTACAAAAGAAAACAGTCATTTTAAATTGTAATAATATATTTCACAACATTACTCTTTTTACCGTATTTTTGATTAAATAAAAGCAGTCTTAGGCTACGTTTACACGACAACGATGTAGTCGAAAAAGGAAAAGTTTTTCCCTTGCGTTTTTAGTTTCACGTATACACGGCAACGTTTTCAAAATGATTCGCGTTTACACATATCCGTGAAAATGGACAAAAACGCTGTATTACATATGCCAGGCCAGTAGTTGGAGCTGTCACCTTGTTAGTAAACAGTACCTGTTGCCATTTAAACTCTTAAACAGCAACAACAGTACAATGTACTCCGCCATTGTTGTATATGTTTGTTCGCGCTTGCCTTTAAAATCGACACGTACTGTGCATGTCTACATACCTAACACGTACTACGCACACGCATGACGTCACCATTTTCCAGATTCCCATATTGGGTGTTTACATGGAAACAACAACGGTAGCGTTTTCAAAAACTTGCACTTTGAAACCCGTTTTCAAAAATATGCATTTTCAGTCCCCAAAACGCAGTTGTTGTGTAAACAAACAGGCAAAACGCATAAAAAGTTTCCCGTTTTTGGCTGAAAACTTTGTCGTCTAAACGGCCCCATAGTGAGCAAAAGAGACTTAAAAAAAATCTTAACCCTAGTAGCTATCTTCAGGGGTCTGGAATTCACTTAAATGAACCCAGAATTCTTTAAAATGAACTAAACCAACACCAGCTCAGGAGGTGGTCTGAGTACGATTCGCTAAACATAAAAAGTAGACCAAAAAGAGATCTGACTCCAATTTCAAAATCAGGAATAGTGTAAATGAAAGAGAACTGGGTGTTTTTTATTATTGTTAAAAATATATTTTTTATAAATCAGATTTATGAGATTTCATAAAGTGTGAAAACACCCTTAAAGCAATGTAGAGCTGCACACCATTTGACATTTCAAGTTACCGCCCTCACATCCTTATTAGCTGACTGCCGACATACATGACTCAATCATGCGATCACTCCACTGTATGTTTAACAGATCAAGAGAATCGTCTGAGAGTCATGCGTTGACAAATATGTAAAGCCTTATGCCTAGTTCACACTACAGGATTTTAAGCCCGATTTGCAAGTTAACGAGCTCGCCAACAGGTCGGGGGAAAATCAGCGGGTGATCGGCGCTCTGCAATCTTTATGTTTGAACTACACAACGATGCATCAAAGAGGCTCACTGACGCATATTTAGCATGCCAAATATCTGGACCAGTCAGCCGACTCGACATCACGTGGTGCCAGGTGTTGTGACGAGCTACAGCCAGTGAGAGAGCAAGGCATGGGTTGAGGTCACCGGAAGAAAAACAACAGCAGCGACATGGCTTAAAGAAAAGTTTGGACACAATAAATGGAGCAAAAGTTTTCATCGAGCAAACAGCTTGTAGCGCTAATTCCTTCCCAACATCCATTTTCAAATAAACAACTCCTGTTTCACGTGTTGTTTCGCGTCATTCCCATTCCAATTCTCGTGTGTGTTTTCGTGACAAAACGTGGTTTGTAGAGTCGTTGGGTGACAGAGTTGTTGTCAGCTTGTGTAGTGTGTAACCCCCGGTTGCGGATCCTTTACATAGAGTCACGTAGTGTGAACACCACAACGACTTAAAGACAAACAATCAAGTCATGTAGTCTGAACAGCACAGCGATCTGCCGACGTTTAAAGTCGTGTAGTGTGAACTTAGCCTTACCAGACACTGTCAAATGATATTAATCATATTAGTTTTACTGCAGGTTTCATATTCATAGTTGTATTAGTATTGTCTGCTTAAAGTATTTATAATCTTTCAAAAGTTTTCTACTTCAAAAAAAATTGCTGTTCATTAACACACAAATTAATTTCTATTCATCAAAGAATCCTAAAAAAAGTAGAAGAAAAAAGCAAATCAGCATATTTGAATGATTTGTGAAAGATCAAGTGAGACTGTAGACTGGAGTAATGATGTTGAAAATTCAGATTTTCCATTATAAGCCTAAATTACATTTTAAAATATATTAAAATACAAAACAGTTATTTTAAACTGTAATAGTATTTCAGAATATTTCTGTTTTACTGTATCAAATAAATGCAGCATTTGTGAGAGGTATTGTTTTGCTAACAACACAAAATAAGTTCTATGTGACACCTGCTGTCAATTACCACTAAAAAATAATTGACCCAAACAACCTTCTCAAGTTTGCAAAAACAAACTAAAATAGTTTATAGTAATGCACAGTGAAATTAGTCAAATGGGCAAGACATAACACTAGAATAAACATTACAGCAAACAAGCTTTGTTTGCAATTCTATCACAAATTAAATGTGGCGCTACCCAGACTAAGTTCTATAGTGAAATATTTAGGAACCGTACAACATGGTGACCACTGA